ATACTACATTTTATATAAGTAATTGATTTTTCAATATTAACATGCTTTTTGTTTGTGTTTTATTATAAATTTCTTTTTAATAGTCAATCTTTTAGTTAAAGTTATGCTTAGTGCTATAAACAGAGTTTTGTTTTATATTGTTTGTTTCAAGAGAGAGAGTACTGAGTAAAACATATAGTACGGACATTCAACCGATCGACCAATACGACATTAATGCAATGACGAAAATCTCTTATCATTTTGTCGCCTTAGATTCTACAAATTTCAATTAGATCTTAAATTTGTATTACAATAATAATTATTATTAATATTATTATTTTTATTTATTTATTTATTTTTGTTTCTTGACTTATGACAACTAGTTTAAGTGGTAAACATAGAACGCTACCGGGGCTCGGGTTATAGTGAATTAAAAAATGTATTTCCTTTTTACTGCGGCGGCTGCGGTGGCTGTTGCTGTTGCAAGTGTGGCAATTGCATGACACGCGCCAAGATATGCGCCTGCTGCTCCAGGCACTTGGGGAAGAACGTCTGCAGCAGCTCCAGCTTGCGCTCTTCCAGCTCCAAGCGTTGTCGCGAGATTTTCGTTTGCTCTGCCAGCAATTGATTCTTACGACGTACTTCCTCCATGTACATAGACTCCAGTGAGTCGGCCGCCGGCGGATTGCTGGAGCCAAAGGGTCGACCCCGCTTGCGTGGTGTCGGTATTGGCGTAGCCACAGCATTGCTGTTGCTGTTGTTGCTGTTGCTGCCAGCTGTTACTGCTGGTGGGTGCATATGTGCGCCATTGCTGCTGTTTGTTGCCACGCTAATGGTGTTGTTGGTGCTGTTGATGTAGGCAACCGCTGTAATAGCCTGATGATTGATACTGGATGTTGGGGCGCAATTGTTGCTGTTGCTGTTGTTGTAGCCGCCTGCATAGCTGGCTGGCTCATAGCCAGACTGAAATTGTTGTTGATGCTGCTGTTGTTGATGCTGCTGCTGTTGTTGTTGTTGTTGTTGCTGCTGTTGTTGCTGCTGCAGCTGCTGTGGCGTTTGCAACTCCAGTAGCTGTGCGGGTTCCGCTGGTGAATACTGTTGCATGCGCTCCTGAAATGGCATTGAGCGATAGTCCTCATCGTCGTATTCCTGCTTGATATCATCATACTGATCCGTAAATAGTTCCGTATTGAAGCTCATTGAATTGTTGTTGTTGCTATTGGTGTTGTTGTTATTGTTGCTGCTGCTGTTGCTATTGTTGTTGCTGTAATAATTATTTGCCGTTGGCTCAGCTGTTAAATTAAGCACCGACTGTTGCTGCGGGTGTGTTTGCTGCTGTGATTGATGTTGTTGTTGTTGTTGTTGTTGTTGTTGCTGCTGCTGCTGTTGTTGCTGTTGCTGTTGCTCGTCGTCGCGTGGCGGCGACACATCTCGATTGTTGGCCAACGCCTCTGGTGGCAATGGCTCTGCGTTTTTCGGCCTGTGTAAGTTCTTTAATATGCGATTGATTAAATCATATTTTTTCCAGCGCAAGGGAAAACTCGATGGATCCGCCTGCAGCTGTTTCTTCACCTGACTGCAAGGTTAAAAAATTTCCCAATTTAGAGTTAAATCGATACAAATCCAATGATATAACACCTACCGAAATTTAGCTCTTGTCTGATTAACCTTCATTTGTATTTCCTCTGGCTTTACGTCCACGGCGAAGCGTTCGCGCAGCTCCTCGGACCACTGGCCAAAGTATACGGTATTTTTACCGGTGCGTGTCAGACGCCAATTGTCCCGGCCCCAGATCTCATACAGCCGCTCCTCCTCGCTGGGCGTCCAATACCGACGCGCTTTCTCCTTGGACTTCACCTCCAACTGCTCCTGGTTGCCGCACATCGTGGCCTCCTGTTCGACGTCAGCGACGTTCGGATTTAGATTCGGATTTGTGTTCGCAATCACGTTCGCATTTCCAGCGCCGGCCGCAGCGCTCCCTCCGCCAATATTCACAGGCAAATTTTCGTAGTCCATGCGAACGCCAGGCTTCAGATTTAGCCTTTTAGGAATTGATATCGAAACAGTTAATAGTTATCAATGCTCTGCATTACCTTATTCCATTTCTACTCAGTTGGGACACATTTATTATACACCAACTTCACTTTTTCGCATTGAAAATCAACAACTAGGGATGGCTGCATCAATCGATTGTCATATGCAAAAAATGCCGATAGGTATACCCTCGATTGTTTGCTGGAAATTGTAATGCAGCAATTTGAGCATTTCCAAATTTAACACAAGCGGAAAATAGTTTATTTTATTCAAAGAAGAAATAAAGGATTTTAGATATGTATTCATACAATAAATATTAAATATAATTTAATTATATATTATATATCGGTAATCTTCCATCCATAGCAATTCAATGTACACTTAAGAGTGTGACCTTTGGCTTGCAAGCTATAAAATCGCGGAAAATATATTAAATACTACAAGTAAAATATATTGCGAATAAAAGTGGTAGATGAAAAAAACAAAAAAATTATTTTAAATATGAATGAATAAAATAGAAATTACAATAACTATTAAAGAATAACACATTTTTATGTTTAATAAAAATAGAAAAATTTTAGATACAAAATATACGAATAAAATAACTTCACTCCGATATATCGATAGTCATGCACTTGTCACATCATCGCACATCCCTATTAGACATAAGCAACATCTGAAATAAATTTACTTGCGAACCAAAAAACCTGCATAACCCACATGAGAATTACTTAAACTGAACGACATGAGCGATCCGGAGAATGAGACGAAGAGCAATAAGCGCGGCCCTAAACACATGCGGCTGCGTTACTATACGTCCTATGAGGAGGCCATGATTGTGAAACTGTGGCGCGAGCATTTGCAAGAAATAACTTCGTACACTGAGAATCTGGTAATATTTCGGGAGATTGCCTTTGGATTACAGCAGCATCGCATAAGGCTAAACAAGCAGGAAGTGCGACGACGTATTAACAGCTACCGCAACAAGTATTTGTGAGTAAATATAAAAGGTTTGATCAATATGGAAAGAGAGGCCGTAAGTTAATCTCCCCACCCATTATAGAGTCGAGCGCAGTCGCTATGAGAACGATCCACAGTACAAATCAGATTGGCGTTTGTATCAGCTCGTCGACAGCCTCTTGCAGCCAACAGCTTCAACTAGGGCAACGTCCCCCATAACTACGGAGCGCAAATTGATTGAGGATTTGGAAGAGAAAATACGCAGCGAAGTTCCTAGTTTGCCTCGCTTCAATCGTCACGATTGCCGCACGATGAAGTTCGAAATGGATCCGGACAGCTGTCCCTTCTACGAGGATCAAACGACAACGGCTCAGGTGAAGGCGGAGCTGCCACAAACGCTGGAATCGCCCAAGCAACAAATAAAGACTGAACTGAAGGCCGAAAGGGAACACCTGCAGCCAGTGCAGTCCACGCCAATGGAGAAACGTCCGCCTCTAATGCCTGCCAATCGCACGCTGGAGCCGCAATTGCAGCCACAGCCATCGCCTGTTTTGGAGGCTAGCCAACCCTCGGTGCGTCGTCTGCGTCGCCGTAGTATAATGCCACGCACGGGCCAAATAACTTTGGCCCAGATCGAGAGATTGCGCAAAGAAAACGAAATGCTGGTCGAGCAGCGGGATGCCCATCTGGCTGATTTGGCCTTGAAGGAACGCGAATATCAGAATCTGGAGCAAACATTCGACTTCTGGCTGCATCAACAGGAGACGTGGATGGCCTACCTGGACACGCGTGGTATTAAGTGAACCTGAAAGTTGTCCTTGTTGAAAAGTTAAGTTTAGAATGAAGTGTATTTTAGCTTTAATTACGTATTTTTTATTTTGATCTCCGATATCTATCTACTCGGATTTTCCTTTTTGATTGAGCTGCTTAAGGAAAAAAGTTGGAAAATTTATAATTCTGGAATGATGGAATTCATATGAGTTATCAATCTCTCTGAAAAATATTGCATATAATATATTTTAATTTTTGTAATAAAAGAA